CACCTCATAGACTCTAGACTGTATTGGAAAATCGACTTATAGAGTGCGTTATATACAGTATACATAGTTTCTGTTGGTAAAAGTTTATTTAGTTTGAAAAATTTGCAAATTACAAATCTTAATCTCATAACCATAATTTCAATATGAAATTTCCACCTAAGATTCCAGTCAAAAATAAGACCTTAATATTTAACTAGGTATTTTTACCCTACTTATTTTTTGGCAATTACATAATTTAGAATTTAAATCTCGAGTATTACAAGAGTAAATAATAATATCATCGAACAGTATGTACGTACTATAAATTTAAAAAGCAATGAATACACTTTTCCTTATTTTCAAAGTCAGTTTACTTTTATTCAGTTCTTTAAAGACAGTATTTACACCAACAGTCGTTTTGTAATGAACATCTTCCCATGAGTTTCTGGAAAAAAGAAGGCAGATGTCTTACGTTATAACTTCACCATCAATACATATGTTACAGATGTTATTTATTAGTACATAAGTAACCATATAAAAATACCATTGTTTTTAGTTATATTTTGATGTATTGTATTACAAATAAAATGTTGATTTAGTAATTAAAAAACTTTGAAAATATGAAATAGGTACCATAAACATGTAGTAAAAAATACAGAAATGAAATATTTATAAAACTTAACTTATTCTCTTAATTTAGATATAAGTCATTGAGTTTATTTGTAACTATTTAAAGTTTATCAAATGTTTTAGTATACCTATTGATATAATACATTATTTCTATACCTTTGATTCTCTGTGGAAATGAAGAAACTATAATTCAAATGTCTTACACATTTTCAGGTAGTGCAGGAACAGGTAAATCTTTTTTATTACGTTACATTGTGAATACCTTACCACCTGATGTAACAATGGTTACTGCTAGTACTGGTGCATCAGCTTGTCTTATTGGGGGAGTTACGTTACACTCCTTTGCTGGTATCGGTATTGGTGAATGCACTATTGAACGAGGTATTGAAATGGCCTCTAAATCATCAGCTGCACAAGTTTGGCGTAAATGTAAAATACTTATTATTGATGAAATATCAATGGTAGATGGAGAATACTTTGAAGTGACTATTAAATTATATTTTATTACTTTTAAATTATTTCAGTTAATTATAGAAAATGGTTTTAATTTTTTTTTAGAAACTTGACAAAATAGCAAAAGCTGTACGCAAACGAGATGAACCATTTGGTGGTATAAAATTAGTATTGTGTGGTGATTTTTTGCAATTACCTCCTGTAAAACAAGGAAAATCTAGATTCTGTTTCCAAACTAAAACTTGGGCAGAGTGTCGTTTTCGTTGTTTCAATTTGAAGTTTGTTCATAGACAGTCAGATAATGAGTTTGTAAAGATGTTAAATAAACTACGCCTAGGAAAGTAAGTAAAATAATGTCTGGAAGTTAAAAATAAATAGGTAGGCAGATAAATTTAATATCTGGATATTTTCAGCATAGATCCAGATACAGCAATAAAATTGAAAGCCACATCATCAAATTTATTAGAACAAAATGGAATTGTACCTACACGTCTTTGTTGTCGGACAGCTGATGCTCAAATGATAAATCAAAAAAAAATATTTGATTTACCAGGCAAAGTATTTAAATTTGAAGCTTTTGATAGTGGTCCAACAAAAACGTTAGATGATCATACTCCCGTGGCAAAATCGTTTGTTCTTAAGTCTGGTGCTCAAGTAATGTTATTAAAAAACATAAGTGTATCATCAGGGCTAGTAAATGGTGCTAGAGGAGTGGTCAAAGATTTTGATAAAAATGGTTAGTTGATGATAGTCTGTTAATTATTGCTATATTTCTGTAGTATCTTAGTTGATTCAGTAATATACCTACTTGTATTATATAAAGATATTATTTAATGTTATAATTTACCCATCTAAGGTATTTTATTACAAGCTTAGTATTAGGTGTTTTTATTTTGTATATTACTCTATGTTTAAATCAACACATTAAGTACTTGAGTGATATACTCAGATATTTATGATTTTCTTGACTGTTGTATAACAGTATTAATGTATTATTTTGGTACATGACAATGTGAATACAAAAAAAAAAAAAATTTAAAACAAGATATGTGCTCATCTTCCATAAATGTATTATTAGTTTAATAATTATAATAATTTATATACCATTTTAGGTTCTCCTTGTGTCCAATTCAAATGTGGTAATACAGTTACTATTAAACCTGAAAAGTGGATAGTGAAAACTCCTACTGGACAATTTATTTCAAGACAACAAGTACCTTTGAAATTAGCTTGGGCATTTTCTATTCATAAATCACAGGTGAATATATAATAATAATATAATTACTCATAACTCATAGCATCAATACTTGTAATTCTAATTATTTTTATTTTTTTAAGGGTTTAACATTGGACTGTGTTGAAATATCTTTAGGGAGAGTGTTTGAAGCAGGACAAGCTTATGTTGCATTGTCTAGAGCTAAAAGCTTATCATCTTTAAGAATTTTAGATTTTGACAAGAAACATGTTTGGGCAAATCCTGATGTGATAGCGTTTTATAATAAATTAGATAGAATTGTTGAATCTGATAAGATGTATATTTTAGGTAAAAAAAACATATAAAAAAACAAAATGTTTCGATTTATTAATGTAATTTAAAGTGGTACACAATGTACGTATACATTTAACTATTATAATAAGTAAACTGAAGAGTAAATATCAGTTCATATTTTAGTAACTTATGAAATGTAAAATACTTATATCTAATGATATTTAGCTATTTTACATTTGATCTCAAACAATTTCTTGAAAATGTATTTATATATTTAATTACACAATTTAAACAAATTTTTTAATTTGTTAGATTTATTTATGATTATAATGTTATAAAATTGAAATGGGCTTTTGTTTTTGGGTTTATGTTATCTTATATTAGAATAATATATCATATTGTTTATATTACAATTTATTTATTATTATTTAGTTTGTCTTATAACTCATTAACACTTAAGAGGACGCCACACCCGCATGTATTGTCTCCGTCTTACAAACGCGTAACATATCAAATTTTACACTCTGCAGATCACGTTTATCTCCGTTAGTTTAAAAGTTAGAGTGAATTGACCTCTTATTAAATATAAAGGTAAGATTATTATTCAGGGCATCTCATAGGCATTTTATTATATTTTAATTTTAAAACGAATATCGTGTATTTTAAGATGTACAAACAATTTACAATTTTAAAATAGTAATAATTCGCTCTAAAATTAAAATATAATAAAAAGGATATGAGATGCTCTCGATAATAATCTTACCTTTAAATTTAATAGGAGGTCAATTTACTCTAACTGTTAAACTAAGGGAGATAAACGTGATCTGCGGAGCCTACAATTTGCTATGTTACGCACTTGTAAGACGGAGACAACGAATGTGAGTGTAGCGTCCTCTTAATGTACCCACCTACCTACTTAATTAAATTTAACGCCAAAATGTAAATAATAAAAAATGTGTTATGAATAAGTTCAGTGGCGTGTATCATAAAAAAAATTGGTGTTGCTCAAATAATTTTAGGTGACTTACCCCTCATAATACTGTCTTACCGACCTATAAAACTTCCTATTTTTCTTCTATCAGTACCCACCCACCCATATTTAAAGTGTTGCCTGAGTAACACTTGAACCCCATGTTACACGCCACTGAATAAGGAAGCTACTAGATTTTTACACACATTATTTTATAAAAAAAATTAAAATTATGCTTTCATACAAAAATATTACATAATATTATTTACTATCCTTTGCACAATATAATTTAATTGATGTAGGATATTGAGGTATTGCTTATTGTTTTAAAGATGATATTTTTCACTTTTCAATAATATGTACATCGAACAAATATATTTTATAAAAAAAAACTTCACATTTATGAGCTTGGTTTGAGCACTACCCTTGAATTACAGAAGTTGTATTTTATTATTCTGGTTCAGAATACAATCTATTAATAATAATATGTAAATTCATGACATTCACAGCGACACAGTATATTAGTGTCTCGTGGTTAATCAGAGACTTGGACCGAGATATATCTGGGCATAGTTAATAGAGATTTTCGAATATTCTTGAATATTAAGAATTCTAATTACAAACGCTGAGATTTTAATGCCCAAACAAATCTTAAACAATGTAAAAATGACATTAATTTATTCAAAAAATATACTACAAGTGTATTTTAAGTTTTTGTAGTATTAGTAAAAATTAAAAAAAAAGTTGTACAGATAGTTAGATCTCATCGACTTTAACCGTACGTCATCTAGACTCGTTACATAGGTTTTGAAATTTCAATTATTGTCTGATGATATAAATTATAATACGAGTACCTCATTTATTATCTGTTATAATTGTATGTAAATCATGTTGGTGTGTAAAAATCTTGAACTAAAATTTCATATTCATATTTTGTTTCCAAAAGCTGAAAAAATGCTTCATAAATCATAAACTCAAAAATGTCTAAGTGTACAAAATAAACTTTCTTATTCTCATTCAAAAGTACGTATTTTAAATTTGTGGCAATGCGAGCATCGCAAAGTAATCTTCGGAAAACATTGCAAAGTGCATCGAAATTCGAAATCCCAGCCGGCAGCCATACTTATTAGATTATTATTATTTATTATCTATGTTTTGTAAAAGATAACTATTATCAAGAACATTATAATTTGATAACATAGACCGCATGTTGTGGATATGTGGAATTGAATAATTGATAATAAAAATAACTTAGAAGTTTTATAGTTTTCGGCACTTTTTCACGTCTTCTGAAGATCGAAGGCATTAAAAATAATAATAACAATTTAAGTATACGTTGTATAACATTTATAACTATTGTTTTTTTTTTTAAATTAATTTCTTACCTCAAACGTTTTTTTTTGCTCTAAATAAATAATAAATATGCGTTTGTGTTAGTTGCAATCAAATCATAAAACGCTTTAGGCAGAGTCACTGACAATGTTTGCTTTGAAGAAATCGCTGACCACATTAGCTGGCTGCCGACTGCGTGGCACTAGATCGTTTCTGACGGAGGCGTACAGGTGTGAAGACGTTTGGCAAGAACGGTTGGAATGTTCGTTGCTGAAGAAAGTCCAACCCGAAGTGCTGTACCACAAGTTGTCCACCACACTGGAACAAGGATCCAAGCAGATTAGTGCCGTTGATCTGGATGTGTTTGCCAACTCCCTGACGGAAAATACATACGTGGAGGAGTTAGAGGAGCTCACGCATAAGTTTCGTTTGTCTGCGCAGACTGGCACGTTGCTGCCGTCCACACATCATGCAGTCGTGCGGTTGCTCGTTGCGACGAATAGCACCAATGACCTCATCAGGATATTAAAGGATCGCTTAAATTATGGTATTTTTCCTGACTACTATCTGTGTAACTTACTAATGGACCGTTTCATAAAAGAGAATGATGTTCGAAATGCCGCAGTGATTGCTTCCAACCAAATGTTACAGGAAGAACTAGACAACGATATTACCAAAGCCATGGGATTATATTCCTGTTTGAAATATATCACCAATCCTATTGAATGGGAAGAAGCAAAAATAGTAACAGAAGAAACAAATGATGACGATGACGATGAAGTAGATAGACGAGTACGTGTCGATTTTTTGAGAAATCCTTATTTTGATGATCACTTTGATTTGGCGGACGGTGATCACTTGGTCGGGAAAACCATGCTGGCAATCAGCAAAAAAATTGATAGTACTATTTTGGCAAATAGCTTTAAGACCCTTGGATTAGCTTATTATAACCGGTGGAATGATTTAAGTGGTCATCTAAAAAAACTTGATGGTTCTGTATATTTAGAAACGATAGAATTGGCAGTTACTGCAATAGATAAACGAGCACCTGAAAATGCTGAGCAACTAAAAGATGCACTTGCAAAATTGCATATCGAAAACAAAAGTTTGACTGAAGAATCAAAAAATTTTGTAAATGAGGCGGTATCTACAAACGAAGAAAAAGAAATACAGACACAAAAAGCGGTATGCAAAAATAAATCAAACTTAAAATATTATCTATAATATTTAATTTATATTTCAGATTTACAAAGAATGGGAATCCTTCAGGCGGGAAGAGCTATCTAGGTACCTTGAACATTTAAATAAGTTGAAACGTTTACAGAAGGTCCAACAGGCCAAACAAGACCTCAAAGAAAAAGAACAGTTGCTGTTCTTCTTTGATAATGAACATAAACATGACCTAGTTAAAGAAGAAAAACTGAAACGAATGAAAAAGACGGTGGTTAAAGACAAGAGCCATAAAGATGATTTAACATATGTACCGCCAGAAATCAGAAAACCTGGTTTTAAACGAGATTAAATAAAACTAATTTAAGTTAAGTTAAAAATTACATGGTACTTACCCTATAGTAATAATTAATAAATATTCACATCTAAATCTGCAAACTATTTTGTTATTGATTTTTATTTTATTAAAATCTTCTTGCGGAACTTAAAAAATATAGTACCTATTTTGTTTAATTTTTTTATAATTTATTGAAAGTAATCCAATATAGAAGTCAAACAGGGTTGAGGAAGCTGTTAGATGTAAATAATAATTTTATAGTTTACGTGGCCCTTAGAATAATAATTTTAACTGTAGTTAGAGGAGCCGCCTCAGAGAACAAAGTTCAAATAATAAGTTTCAGTTGATATACTTTATTAGTACACAATCTAAATTAAATATTAAATGCAGTATTATGAAAGACTTATGCATATTATTAGAGTTTTTTGTGTGTGGGTTGTTGTTTTGCCATAACTGTTGAACTTGTTGTGTCACTTATGTAGTATAAACATAATATTAAGTGTGTGTAATGTGTATACGTATACTGGGATGACCAATATGTCTAGTAAGCATTATTATCTATATTTATGTTTATGGTTTATAACTGTTTCTCACGTCTGTGATGCACTAATATACAGTAGCTTTTAACTTTACTTTTATCTTTTAAATCCCCAATTGACTAATAAATTGCATTTAAAATATAGACGGTATCATTAAATTTTATGTTAAATAGTAAATACTAGCTTTAATTTGTAACATAAAGAGTAGAGATACAATGTTTATTCTGTTTTATTAAGTGATATTATTTTTTTTTTCAGATTCACTTAGTTAAAAACACATAATTTATTTTTACATAATGTTAATACAGAAATAATACATATTACACACAAAATTAATCTATAGATGTAAAACAAAGAATAATATGTTTTTTGTATAAATTAAATTAAATAAAACTTAACAAGAGTCAGGAAAATCCTAATATAGGTACATTGTTGGGGGAAATAATACTTATGCACTTCCCTATTCTAATGCCTTACTTCATCAGTTGCTCGATTACTTCCTCCAAAATCATATACAAATGCCTCTGTTTTACTTCTACTTATCCTACTTAGTCCATTCCCTCTGCCTATCCTTGAATATATTTTGTAATTTTGTTTATTATGAAGGAGAACAACAGGTGAGGTGTTGACACAGATGTATTTAGTGGGGTTGGTGGTGGGAGTAGAGGGGCTTGATTGTTCCCGGCGGCATTATTTTACATTTAACGTATTGATTTAACAATGATTTGCTTTTACACAAACAATAGTGCTTCAACTTTGACACCCTCAAAGTTTCTGGTAGCAAATCAGATCAAGTTGGTACTTTTGACTTTTTGAGAGCTCAAAATTGAAAATATACAGTAATTTTAAAAAATGCAAGGTAAAACAAAAAAATAATAATAATAACTGTGATTTTCACGCAAAACTGTATAGAGAGATAAGTGATGAGTAATGAATTATTTAATTATTTTATATAATATACCTACAGATATTTTGAATGTACCTATTTATAACATGATAAATATAATAACAATTTTATAAATTATAATAAGTTATAGATATTAAAGTTAAAATACAAGACAATAATTATTAGTAGGTAAGTAAATAGAAGCTAAGCAGGTAATAACGAGGTGCCGTCAATGGGCCACTTCCCCTTCACATCAATTAACCTCCATCCAATTTACTCATTACATAACATGTAAATACACTAGTCACTAGGTATACAGATTGTAAATATAAAATTTAGGTAGTTCAATAAAAAAAAAAAAATGGATAATAAATTATTTAAACATATAATACAGATGTTTTAAATATTACACATACCTATAATATTAGAGATTAAAAGATTATTATAATCTATATTATATTATTATTCTATATATTTTATTAAAATAAATATATAGGTTGAGAGTTACTAATTTGGTATTAGTACCTAAGCAAAATTATATTTGAAATATGCTCGTTTGTACAAGAAATAATAAATATTATTTAAATATCTTTTTAGAGAGACAATATTGCGCAGGACGCTGTTACGATTTGTGTGGTCATTTTTAAATTGATATAATATTTCAACAATTGTACAAAATTAACAAACCAATTATTAATTATAATATAATATGAATATTTTTGTTCTTTGGTTTTGTCAGTAAGTCGTTCACGGATTCGTGATTACAGAGTATAAATTATTAAAATTTATAGAAAGATGTATAGGTACTAGGATGTACTAAGTACCTACCTATTACAATTTTAAAAACAATATACTTATACTACTTATAGGTACATACCTAATATATGTTAATTTAAATCAAATTAAAATATTTCTTAATAGTTTAATAAATGCTTGAAATGTTTGAATGGGTGAGCTGGTAATGAAAATGTTAATTCGTAATAAATTATGTACGGCGTAATTAAAGATATAAATTTATTACCATCTGACATCTACATTTAAAGAATGTTCATTAAACAAGACTACAAATTTAATCTGAAAATATGTAGTAGAACACACTTAAAAAATGTCGAAAAAAAATAATATTATGTACTTAGGTATTTTATTTTATAGCTAATGTACGTATCTAATTAGTAGATATGCCTATATCTATATCCAACTATTAAACACAAAGTCTTGAGTTATTTAAAACAATTAATTGTTTGAAGATAATGGTAATTGCAGTACATTAATCGTGGACCGTGAATCGCGATGTCCTGTGACTATAACAACTTATTTTTTCAACAATCATCCTTATTCCTTATTTTTACTTCTAAATTGTTGAGTATCTATATATGCGGCTAGATGACTTTTTTTAAGATGTTCAGATTAACAACTATTGATTAGGGTTTAGGGCTCTTATTTGAAAAAAAATACGTTTATATACCACGGTCCAGGTGCAGATTCAGATTTATACAACGGACTTAGGAGGGGATAAATATTGCACATTCAAAAATAAATACCTACCTATAGTTAAACACAACCCTCTCTGTCCCCTCTGCCCCACTGAATCTGAGCCTATGACACGGTCACCATACTCCTTAAATGGCAGGGGCGTACCCAAAGGGAGATTTTCGGGACTGGACCACTCCCATTTATTGACAGAATTTAAAATTTTTAAGGCGCAAACCACTGATTGCATCGCAATTTGTGTCGAGTTGAGCTCCTCAACTTAATAATTCCCAATTCGAATTAATAGGTATTAGGATTAATATTATTAAACTTATTTTTATGAGTTGATAGAATCTTGTAAAACGTAAGTTCTATGTCACATATTTTCAATGTTTCTTATTTTCTATTTAACATCAGTCTAAATTTCACCTAATATGTACCTACCTATTAACTATTTAATTACCTAACTATTTATTTACCTATTAACTACCTATTTCCTCTCAAGTACTTACTCCTCACCTATATCACAAGCACCAAACATTGCTTAAAGGAAGGTGAGCAAATATTATGTTAAAATAACTAACTAAAATATGTAATCAGTGTTGTTGTTTTTGTTTGCAAAATCCATATAATATTTACACACCACTTCACGCTATTATCTGCTAAGTAAAATATTATTGATTCGGTCACAGATACTAGGTACCTATATAAACTTGTTACCTATATTTTGTATAATCTGTTATATAAATTATAGCTAATAGAGCAGTAGGCTAGCTGCTTTATTGCTCAAGAATCGAAATTATCTATTTAAATGTATAAATAATATTTATTACGTATAGGTACTATAGTTACTAGGTACTAACTTTTAATTTTTTTTAGTACCTAATTCAAATTCATTTACCTACCAACTTATTATCTAACTGAATGAATTATTTTAATATAATTCTTTGGTCTTATTCTTAGTTTTGTTTTGACTTTCGTTTTATAGTTTTTAGCTGTTATCTAATTGTTCTGGACTTTGGTACAATTTGATAATTTTTTTTATATAAACGTCATAAGGATTATTAAATAGAGTATAATAAAACTGTGGCGTATATTATTATATTTATATATTTATATAATATTATCTATATCGATTACATTGGGACTTTACCGTCCCTCTCAGTTCCGGTTAAAAAAAGTTAATTCTTTTGTGGGGTGCAATAAATTAATAAATATGCTTAATATATACATTTTATAATTATATAGCCCATAGTTTGTAATAACTGGGAATTTGTACTTTTCCTAATCCCTAACATACATCATAATTTATTCACATCAATTATATCCCACTCTTATAAATTTAATATACTTAGTAATAATCAATAAACTTATAACTAATAATAGCCCTTAGAGTTTTTTTTTTAAATTAATAAATTATTAACATACGAACAACACATTGGTATATTTATATAGGTTACCTAATTAATAATATTATTTTCTTGCCTTTTTGTTCAGCCTCATAAATATTCGAACAATCGATCTTATATTAATCAATACTCAATACTACTTTGCTGCGGCCCGTGCCATCGAATTCGAATATGTGTTCATGTTTTAAGAGCTGAGAAATAAATAACATACCTATAATATATTTTATATTATATAGGCACTAGGTGTAGGCGTGTCTTAAAGTATTATGTCCAATGTTTATAAAATATACCAAAATAGTATTAAATATATATAGGTTAGTATTGTATAACCAATGATATGGCGTGGTTTTTTTTTACAGGTTACATACTCATAAACTTGAAACTTTACAAAAGTAATAAGTAATATATTATATATTAATATTATGTAATATGTACATTGTAGATAGAAGTTTGGGTTTTTTATTAGTTGCTAGTGCAGGCCAAGCCACAAAGGAAATATTCCGAATCAGTGGCGCCGAAATAGTTTAAAAATGCTCTGGCAGACTATGTAAAAAAATATAAGACACTATAATACGTACCCCTAACAAATTTCAAGCAGACTTGTGGGGGACTTTGCTTATGTTAATTTTTATAAATCTATACATTTTACGCCTTTAATTTACAAAATATTTTGCACATTTTCGTGATTTTCATTAATGTTATTAAAATTTG